GCAGGAAAAAACCCCACATTTCCCATGTGACCAGCTAAGGCCTGTTAGCCCTCTGATGGTTTGGGGGACACTAAGGAACTTTTAAAGTATTTAAAGTGTGTTCTCCAAACCAAACTTAGTTCCTACAGCTCTGTTTGAACCAGCACTGCTTTCAAAGTAGTGTTTCCAATACCTGTGCTGTTTACTCCATTCTTTGCTTAAATCTAGGACTTTTTTGAGCTGCTGAAACCTAAGTACTACTCAGTGGAGATGTTTTACCTGTATTTACTAGATACTTAATAAATCATTTCTCAAAGGCCTAGAAACAGTTAACTGCTGTTTCTGCCTTTGAAAACTTCCCTGAGGTCTTTTGAATGTGAAGATTAGTTTGGTTGCATGGGAAAATATTTGTCTTACCTTCCCTACCATCAAAAGTAGCCACAATCAAAACAGGTGACACTGGAAAAGGCAAGCCAAAATTCTGTATGAAGTAAACTGACTGTTCACATCAAAGCCTTTTTGTAGCACTTTAGAACATAATTAAACAAAAGAAAGGAAACACTGCAATAATCAGTTGCTTAGAAAAGGATCCTCTCCCCTGCCCTCAGCCCCAAAACTCAGTTAAACCAGCTGAAATCCTTAGGAGCTCAGTGATCCTTGTTTCTAATTGTCTCTGGCAGTGAATGTCTCATTCATTTTGAGTTTCCCAATCTTTGCTTTTCCCTTAGACATTCTCTATGCTACTGAGTTACTGTTTTTTTTTTCCCCCAGGATGAGGACATGAAGAGAACATTTGAACAGCTCCTTGCTCAGACCTGTGCCAGTATGAATCCACCACAAACATCAGTAGTGGTATGTGTAATAGATTATCTGGAGATTAATACTTGATGAGTATTAATCAGAGAAAGTAGATTTTGGAGTGATCTGTAATAAGAAGATCAATTCATTCTGGGACTTTAGAGACTTGGGCTGTAGGTGGGAGCCTGGGGGTTGTCTCTGTGTCCCAAGGAGCAGCAGTGAATGTCTGTGCTTTGCCAACACTTTGTTTCCTTGCGTATGAACATACATTTTTGATGGATTCACATCACGAATGTTTAGCATTCTCATGATAGTGCAAGCTCAGAGTGGCTTTGTACCATTCATTGCCAGAATCTAATTAGGAGCATCATAAACAGTAGCTGTTTCAAGCTGGGGGCAATGTCTTACATGAGAAGGTTCAAACATAATCAGATGGATCATGGTGGGTTAGTCAAGCTGCTTTTTTGGGCACAGAAAGGAGACCCTATGCAGCACCTGTAGTTCTGGAGCAAGCAGAGCTGTCCCAGGCTCTGTCTTGCCTGGTTTCCCACAGCCATCCTGCTTCTCTCTCTTTCAGCCAACCACAACAAGAAAACGACCCCACGACAGTGAGGAAGAATCTGGCTCTGCTAAACGTGCTGTTCCTTCTACATCATTTCAGAAAATGGGGTGAAAAAGAAGAGAAAGTGACTTCTGTTAATTGTAGCTTTTTTTATGGAAAGCAGACTTTTTTATATAATAAAAATCTTAATAATGGCGTGACTGTTGAAGGTGCAATTCTCAAATAAAAATAGCTTTGTAAGACTGAAATGACTGCTGTGTCTGCATGAGAAGCTGCACAAATGGTCCTGGTCTGGTGCATCCAACTGTCTGACTCAAGGAGAGTACCTGGAAACCTCATGAACTAAGCTACTAAGCATTTTTAGGCTACCTTAATCCCCACTCACGTTCTTTGTGTCTTCTGTTCCAGTTTCTGGGTTAGGCATGGAAGTAATGCTTAGTCCTCACAGATGGAAAAGGAATACCAGGCTGGCTGAACTCTTGGATGAGACAGAATTACCTGTCACAATGCTGCCCACAGACTTCTCTGGACATCCCAATGTTGTTAGATAGTCTGTAACAGCTTTGCTTGGGTCCTTTCTGGGTCCTGACTAAAACCTGCTTTCTAATGACATCCTAATTTTGATCTCACTCATTTGATAGCAAACCTTTGGGCTGCTGGCTGTGTATTCATTGCTATTGCTGAAAGCTTTCAGAGCTTTCATAACTTACATTTTTTTCCCATGAAAGAGAAAGTTTGGGAGGTGGTACTAAGTTTCACTAAGGTAAAGTGGCATCCCGTTTTCACTTAGGCAAGAAATTGTTACTTTTTCATTACATAGTATTCATAAGAGTATTCTGCATAATCCCTGCGCCTGTCGGTTCCAGCAGGACGGGCACGGCGGTTGGGAAATTTCGGCTGAGCACAGGAGCTGAGCCTCGATGTGCGCGGTCAGAGCAGTGTGGTTGGTGATCAGTGGCTCTGATGCGGTTCGGTGCTGGCTCAGCGCACTCTCCAGAGCTGTATCCTCCGGGAGGATGGAGCTGGTCCTGGTCGCACCGAGCCCTGCGCGCCCGGAGCCGCAGCCGGGCAGTGTCCCGGGGCTGGAATCGAGGAGGAGCAGCGTCTGAGCTGGGCAGTGCCCAGGGTTGGAACTGGGCGATGTCCCTGGC